CTAATAAAGATATTGGCTTATTGCAATGACCTATTAAGAGCTTTTGTAGTGAAGGTGATGATTTGATTAAATTTTGAAAAAAATGACAATACTTGATGCGATACATGGTGTAACTCAATCTTGGAATAAAATAAAGCCAATAACACTCGTTCGATTGTGGAGGAAAATTCTACCAAATGTAGAAGGTGATTTTTTGGATTCTATAGAGCCCAAGACAAGTGAAATAGTATCTGAAATAAGTGAGCTACATGCAAATTTACATGGCTATGAAAATGTTGATAGAGAAAATATTGAGGAGTGGTTAGAACATGATTCATGTGATAGAGGTTTTCAAATAATGAGTGACACAGATATTATTTCCAATCTCATTCAACCAGAAGAGCAAGAGAATGAAGCTGAAAGTGGAGAATAAGAAATTATCAATCACATTAGTCACAACACGTCCCTGAGATCTGTTGACACTTTGTTGGAGTACATCAACCAATGAGAATTCAAGTATAATGACGTACTGTAATAGCTCTTAGAAAAATTCGAACTGATATTAAAAAATCATTAAAAGATTCCTGCAAACAAACCAAAATCACAGATTTTCTTAATAATAATGAGCATTAAACATTTTCAAATAATTGTCTGCCTTAGAAATGTATAATATGTTGTATTTTAGAAATAAATAATTATAGTTCAGATTATCCATGTTTTTCGATTATCCATGCCATCTCTCCCCACCATTAGCCCGGATAATCAGGAGTTTACTGTATTTGAGTAAAGAAATGGTTATAAAATTTCAGGCTATTTGTATCCTAGGAAAGACTCAATTCTTAATATCTATCTAAATAGTCCAGAGAGGGTCTGAATGTTGCTGATCTCAGTTTAGGATAAGTCCCTCAACAATTGATGACTGGTGAATCAATGGAGCTCACTTCATCCAATTGAATTGTGCATCAGATGGAAACTTGGGGTTGGCTGAGGTGTTTGTCCAACAGTCAGCCACTCAGAAAGCACAACACAGAGAAGTTAAAACTTTAACATGACTAAAGTGTAACTCTAAAAAAAAGTGATCAGGTAGAGAGGACAGATCACAGGATGAGAACTTTTTATAAGTAAAGTTTAAATCCTCAAGAACAGAACTTGGATCTTGGAGAAAGAACAACAGATATTACAGAAAGAATCTCGTGTCCTCAAAACACAAGTTTCTAAGGATTTTCTCCCTGATCCCACATTCTGATTGATACTTTCACTTTCCAATTGATCCATCCTTGTCTCCAAGTGACAATTCTAAACCTTTCATGCTGCAGGAGAGGTTAACATTAACATTCAACCTGATGCCATTTTCTGATGGATATCAGATAGTATTTATCAAACTTTGAAACCCTTTCTTATAACTCATGCATTTTGTGTTTACTTTTTTTGACATCAAGAATTTATAACTGTCTCCATATGACATTATCTAATTCATCATTTCACTATATCATTGTTTAACTTTATATCATTTTTTCATTTGAAAGGAATTTGAAAGGGAATTTAACTCCTTGTCAAACACTTGTTAACATTCTAGCATGTAATTTCGAATTCCATCCGAGACCTCACAAAATGATATTTCTGGAAAAAAGTAAATACATAATTATAAACTTAATTTTTAAATTATTATTTACTAACTAGCATCTAAATGACAATATCACTGAACAAATCACACACACAAGTTTGAGTCATTAGTTTCATATGAATGTGAAAGGGAAAAATCATATTTTATTATGTTACTAAATATTTGAAAATGTAGTTTACTGGCTTTTCTTTTACACTTATATATATATATATATACAAATTTTAATTATTAAAAAAAACAAATATTAGTAACAGGAAATGCAATTACACCCTTGCATCACTCTGCTGCACCACAAATTACAAATTTATTATTTTATAATCAATTTTTTAAAATCAATATTAATTAAAATAAGTTACAAGATATTTTTTTTTTGTTATATATTTTGTCTACGAGGACTTAGCCTATTAATAGGATATATTGCACTAGTGTTTTGGTTTTAGCAATCAAGGTACAAATTTTTTTATTCCAGGAAAACAATCTTTATTGATCACCTTGTATTATACCTGTGATCAATAAAGATTGTTTGTTTTTCCTGAATAAAAAATTTCTTTTTCCTCAATTGCTAAAGCCAAAACATCAGTGCGATACGTCCTATTAATAGGCTGTCTTTGTAGACAAAATATATAACAAATAGAAAATAAGGACATAGAGGTATATAAATTAAGTTACAAGATATCTTTAAAATATTTTGCATTAAAAAAAAATTCTTTTTTATAACCTTAAATATTTTACTTAAAATATAAAAAAATTTATACAGATGTGCATAATTTATTGTTACCATTTTGAAACACCTTAGCTTTAAAACAGTACAAAACAGAAAGAAACAGTTTTTTTTTTCTATCCTTTTAGAATTCACAGAGTTTAATTTGCATTCAGTATACTTTGACATAAATTCCACCTCTCATTCTCAAAACATCTGATCAATATTTTATCACCTGCCATATGTTTTGTAACAAATTATTGATTAATTTTAATTCTTGTTTGATTCTTCTTCATAATTCAATGATATCAGTAACTTTTTATAGTACATCAGATCCTTGACATGACCTCACACCTCACAGGAAAAAATCTAGTGAGGTTATGTTTGGCAATCATGGAGCCAATTTGTCAGTCCATTAGAAATCCATTGGTCCAGAAAAGTCTGGTCTAAAGTTCTCAAAAAGTGAGTTCTCAGTGAGATGGAGTGACATCTCTCTGAAAGATTAACATTGATTGGAGTTACTTGAGCTGCAAAATAAAGAACAAAGCATTCCATCATGTATTGATAGCGCTTACATTAGGGATTCTCAAACAGGATCCCGTCTGTTTTTTAACCCGGGAAATATCCCAGGAAATTCTTCTCATTCTGGGAAACCCCACAAATTTCTTAAAAGTTCACATTTTTCTTTTTTTGTGTTAAGGTTGAGGAAATTTTGCAAATAGAAAGTATAATTAACTCAAACTGTCAGAATACATTTGTATTTATTAATTTTAAGCTTGCTTATTAGTTTTTTAAATTTTTGCTTGTTATGACAGCCCACAGATTGTCAATAATCAATATGTATTTGTGGCAGGACTCTGAAAATTCTTTACTTGTCAGAACCTGTAATATCTTGAATAATTGTGCTGATGCTGTCTTGATTTTAACTATGCCCAGTAGCTTCAATAATTGCATTATGCCAGGTTGTGCAAATTGGGCAAGGATAGAAATAAGTACAAAGTCTGCAAGTATGAAATTTTTATTCATAAATCTGATTATTAAAGCCAAACCAACTGCCAAATTACTGGGCTATAAACTTAATACTGCTATTAATTAAAGCTGCTGAGGTAGACAAATCAAGAATAGTTGAGAGCAAAAGAAGTACTGCAACGCATCTCAAACACGAACTAGAAATTTTCAACACTATGAATGAAAAAATGCATAACATTTGTCTTCTCTTAAATGCATCAAAGACAATTCCACCCACATCCATTGAATTGGAAAGGGCATTTTCGGCAGCAGGACTTTCCATTAAAAAATAATAACCAGATTGAATGATCGAAGTATTGACCATCTTTTGTTTTCAAAATCATATAAAAATTTACAATAATATTTTGTATTATGTTTTATTTAAAAAACGAAAATTACATTCTAAGTTAGAAGTTTAATCTAAGTTCAATTTTTCTTTAAATTTTCAACTAAATTCAAAGGCAGTTTTTCTATAAGCAGTTTCCAACAAACTTTAATAAATTTTTTCTATTTGTGAACATTTCTATGTAATTCAAAGGTAACTTTTAATATATATCTTACACAGCATTATTAATATGATTTCAGAGGTTGCAGAAAATTACTTTTAAAAATGAAAAATAATTATATCATTTGATTTCAAGATATTTTTTATATTTTAAAAATAATTAATTATATCCCAAGATCCCAGGAAACAGTTCACTTTTTTCCCAAAATCCTGGGACAAGCAAAATCTGAGAAATGAGAAATTCTAGCTTACATTCATGATTTTTTCCTCAAAAAAATGGGCTTATAACCAAATCAACACTAACACACACGACATATTAAGTTCAGTGTATTGTACAAAAGTAACTGATAACACTGATTATTCAGAAGAATTAAATGCACAATTAAAACTGTAATCAACATGTTAAAAAGCATATGGAGAGAGATTGAATATCAATTAGATGTTTTGAGAATGACAGGTTGAACTCATATCAAAGTGTAACGAATGCAAATAAAATCTGCATGAATTCCACTACAAGAATAAAACAAAATGTTTCTTTCTAAGTTGCATTGTCTTAAAGTTAGGCATTTAGAAATGGTAACAATAAATTATGTAAATATTTAAATAAAATACACCCTATATATTTTATCAATATTTAAAGTTATCAACAATATAATATGCAAAGTTATTTTTTTAAATACCAGGCCAAGGAGATATTGTAGCTCTTTGTACTAAGTCAACAGCTCTAACTTTGCAATAATCAGAATGAAGAAGTGAATTGAACAAGGTTGATTTTCCAACATTTGTACAACCAACTAAATAAACATCACCTGAAAAATAAAAAGTTATATCATTATCAAAGTAATACATTAAATGCTCATAATCTGTGTTTATAATTTAGAATTAATATATTATAACAGTCAGAATTAATCAGAATTAATGTAATTTTATAATAGCATTAAATTACACTAACATAATATAACAAAGATACTTTTTAACTTTATATACCTAAAACAGTATGTAAATTATTGGTAGTAAAAGAAGAAATACTACTGTTATAAACTATCTAAACCCAAAACTTTTAACACACAAATACGATAACTAATGATTATTACTTTAGATAAATCTTGCTGTCTTCAGGAAATTAAACAAAGCACATTTGAATTAAAAAATGACCATTCTGAACATTTTAATGTAGAATATATAATTCAAAATAAAACAGAACTCTTAATATATTTAATGACCACAATATCACAAATTTATAATATAACTGCCTAAAAAGAGTTTTTTGAGGCAGTTGAAACAGTTTGTTTGAGGCAGTTGAAATTTATAATACATACTCAAAAAAAGTTTTTTTGAGGTGATGTATTATAAATTTCTGGAGATACTCCTGCATCCATCATATCACACATCGCTGGATGGTACTCATGTTGTGCCCAACCTGAATGCATTGACAAAACAAGATCGTGCAGACCAAGGTTGTTCCCCTGGTGGTATTCAGCTCACTGTTATCTCTCAGAATTTTCTACACTTCTTTGAATGTTTGACTGCCATAAACCGTTGCTGATAGCATTTATGGCCCAAGCTGGCTGCTGCTCTTTTCTATTCCAAAACTGGGTACCACAATCTGCACATATGCAAACTTAATCATTTGCATAACTCTGTCACCTCTACCATCCTGCAATTTTTGTTTATAGTGCTTTCTATGAGTGACCACTCAAAAATTCTGTTTTGGAAATGTCTATCATATATGTCTCAATTGTAAATAAAATTGAGAGAGAAAGCATTGGTATATTGCTTATAAATAAATACAGTGGAACCTCAGTATACGACCTTAATCTGTTCCTGATGTTTGGACTTATACCGAATAGGACGTATACCAAACCAACCTTTCCCATAAGAAGTAATGTAAAAATGATTAATCCGTTCTCATGTGAAAAAAATGGCTGGCTTTAACACCTCGCTTTCCTGGCTAGTTTCTGCTTGATTTTTCATAAGATCAGCATGTATCTTTTTAGCTTTCTCGCAAATAATTGCTTCCGAGACGATGTCGCCAGCACACTGTTTTTCAGTTATCCAAAGCAAAAGCAATATGATCTAATGTCTTCGATCTCTGTTTAGAAATTGATTTAACCCCTTTTGCAACGTTAGCAGATTTATAATGTCTTTATTTTTCACAACTGTCAATATCGTCGTTCTCAGAATACGGTATGCAACAGTTAAAATCTCGAACACACGTGCCACCTTCATATATCTCAACAATTTCTTTTATCAGTTCCATTGTGATCCTAGTCATTTTATTAGTTTTCTGTTGCTTTTCATTTGCCTTTTTGCAATTCATGATTAATAAAATTAATAAAATTTTACTTACAAATTAAAATGAGAAGAAATTTAACAAAGTCATAAACCGTTGAATGCAAACGTCTAGTCTAGTCTAGTACACCGATAGTGCTACTTGTTTATAGATGGCACGTATAATTGAATTAAGTCGTATACCGAAGAAAAGTCGTATACCAAGCAAAATTTGTTTTGTCCAAACAGGACGTATTCCGAATTGGACGTATTCTAAAGCAGACGTATACCAAGGTACCACTGTACCATATATTTAAACAAATCAAACTAGAATTTATAAATTATTTTTAGACTATAATTTAATTAATCAATTTTGTACTAAAGATAATTTTTTTTTTTTTACTGTACATATAGTTCAGACTATTTATTTTGCTAGGCTACATATTTACATTCTTTTTCACTTATAAAATAATTTAAATATACTCACCTCTATTTTTCCATAATTTGTGCAATTTATTTATAAGTTCTTCAATACCATAACCAGTTTTAGCACTTATCAAATGAATATGTTTTATGTTTTTCCCCCTATCAACACCTGTATCTTTTAAAGTTTGCTGAATTGTATAAATCACATAATTTAAATCCTTACCATTTTGTATTGGTAATAAATCTACTTTATTTCCTACAACAATAATTGGCTTAATTCCTATTATATCTGTAATATTTGACCATATACTACAAGGAAAATCCATTAAATCAATCATAAGTATTACCAGTGAATTTTTATCTTTAATATTTGATAATATCTCAGGATACTGAGATGGATCAACTGAAACATTCAAAGCTACATTAAAATGTTTCAAATAAATACACCTTTGACAAATTTCACCTCTTAATTTCCAAAGTTTTGACAAAAACAACTTAAAACGTTCACTAGGCATATATCCTGGCAAAGCAGAGTCTTTACAATGAAGTAAAGCACCACAACCACCACATGGTATATCGCTGACTGGAAGTGACGGATTAGGTGTACCATAATTACTATTCCAAAAGTCTTCTCTTAAAGAAGATATTTCTTTTTTTAATTTATCATCTTTATCGACGGCTTTTTCAAGGTAATCAAATGCATTATTCTGTACATCATTGCCAGTTTTTTTCAAATTTTCTAATTTTACTTCTTCTAATATTACTTTTTGATAGGGATACTGAATTATTGAGGATTTAATATTGTCATTCAAATTACTTATTTCTGAATTTAAACGAGTTAAGTTTTGATTTAAATTTTCTTTTTTTAATTTTAATTTCAAAGCTATTGGTAAATCATCATCATCATCATCATCACTGTTATCATCTAATTTCTCAGTGTTTTTCCTCATTGACCGAATAGTTGAACGAATTTTCTTATCAATAAATCCGGTTCCTAATAAAGATATTGGCATGTTCTGAGGATCAACATTTTTTCTTCTAATTACATTATCTTGTTCATCAGTCGATTTATCACCCATTTGTTCATCCTTAGTATTTGTCTCTAAATACCTTTTACATTGACAATTAAAGAAAACATTATAATAAGAAAAATAAAGTTTTTTAGAATAAATTGGAAATATTTCCGAATAAGTTTTATGTGAAAAATTCTTCGAATTTACAACTTTTAAATATGACTTTAAAAGTGGGTTATAATTTTTAATATATTTAAATTTAAAAAAAACCATATTCCATCAAATTTAGATCTTGAATAAGATTAATATTTCTACCGTTGATATATAACTTCTTGCTTTATCTTGTCCTTTTTAACATTACCACTAAACGTTTTTCCCTCTTAAATGAACGAACTAAGAAGATTGATTACCGAAATCATTTGTTGACAAAATTACGAACACGTGATAACGCGAAACATTTTAACATGGCTTCCTTTCGAATTTGGCTCTATAAAGAGCCACCATGCGGTCAAAATTAAACTTTGAATTTTATTATTAGATAAATTAATTTCATTAAAACCACTTTTATTTAGCAGAGGAATCATCCAAGAGCATCTGAAAACAACCGTTTCAGAGAAATTAAATTTAATTAAATCTGAAATAAATTATGTTGAATGCATTAATTAATAAAGTTGTTTGAGTCTCCCGAACGTTTTAAGAGATTAGGCTAACGAACAAATTTTCCAATGCATCATGATCAATTCGTGGCGACGGCCGGATGGCCGAGCGGTCAAGGTGGCAGCGTAACACTCTGGGGGACCCACGATCGAATCCAGACGGGTCGAAAACTCTCCGGGAATTTTTCGGAGGTGATCCCCGATAGGATGTCTGTCCCCGTCCCTCACTATCCGGCTGCCCCATTGTGAGCCTGACCGAACCCATAATGGACTTACGAAAAGAGGCCCTCTTAGTGCCCACGGGGCGAAAAGAGTTGAAAAAACGTATATGTTTATATATATATCATCAATGTTGCCTTTTAAGTTCTAAGATTCTAGAAAATAGCGATGCAACTGAGAACTGGAAAAAATTGCATTTGTTTGTCTGACTTCCTAAAAAATATCAGTGCCAATGCACGCAAAATTAAAACAATAAAGCGCCAATTAACGTATTTACATTGAAAAATGACCAAAGAATCCAACTAAGTAAATTATTTACTTCGTTGTCGTACTGTACATTGTAATGAATAAAAATTCCAATACGTGATCCGAAAATGCTGCCTCACCTCACGCGCCGTCCTGCATAAAATATAACTTTTAGATAGCACAATTGAATTTGCGGAACATCTCATCATAATAATGAAATATATAGTAATAAATACAGTATATAAGTACTTAAAAATGTCCAAGTACATCTTCGAAAACTGAGTCTATGCTTGATGTAATGAAATTTTGCGCATGTTTTTTTTTTTAACTCTTTCCGCCCTGTGAGCCTAACACGGCCTTTTTTAGCAAGCCCATTATGGGTTCGGTTAGACCCACAATGAAGGCGGCCGGGTGGTGAGAGACAGGGCCCGACATACCTAGACGGACCACTCCCGAAAAAATTCCGATCCGGATTCGATCCCGAGTCCTCCAGAGCTTTACGTTGCCACCTTGACCGCTCGGCCATCCGGTCGTATTATGCAAGATTAATATGTTGTTATCTTAAAACTGTTAAATTAAGAGACTTGAGAAGAAAGAATGCAGTAAAAAGGTTTCGGACTAATAAACTAAAATACCATAATCAGGGGCGGATCTACATAGGATCTAATAGGGCTTAAGCCCTGGGCCCCAAGTGTCAAGGGCCCACAAAAATTGAATTATTATCATAAATTTTTTATACTTTTTCATTAACAATAAGCACCTATAGATATAAAGTTTGTCATTCAACAACACCATTTCATAAATAAATATATTTCAACTCTGATTTTGATGTTATTAAAAATGAATTCTTAAGATTCTTAATCTAATAAAAAATGGTGCCCCGTTGGACTTCAATAAGCCATAGGCCCGGAAAATCCGCCCCTGATCCGCCCCTGACCGTAATGTATTCAAAAATTCAAAATCTCGTTATTCAGTCAGATTATCTGTGGCCGAGTGAATTGAATAAAACCATCAAATGTCGGTAGTTGGTCTCACCAATAAGCTGGTCGCGTAGAATTTCTATGGTTTTTATCGCCTATCAACTCCTAAATAGGGACCCAGTTTCCAATAGAAAGTCTTCCCAGGGGGCTTCTCCTCTTGGCAGATCGCTCATGAGTTGCTTGCCTATCCCATCAAACCAAGCCAAACCAGCCAGCAGAGCCGTCAAGGAAAGGGAGTTAGGGACTTTTTGCCGGGCCGGAGAAAACTTGAGGGCCTATAATGATTCTTGTTCAATAAAATTAACGTTATTTTTTACTAATAGGAAATAAAATCTTCAAGACTAGTTTTCTTTATTTGTATACTGCAACGCGACATGTAGCGAAGGGCAGTACCGCCATTAACTGGAGCACTTACCCAGAGCCCCGCCCTTAAGAAGTTTATTTTTTGAATTTTTACACCATTTGGATAATTTGGCGTAGTGCTCCATAGAAAATATATTAAACCACAATTCTCAATTCTACCATATTTATAAATTTATAGCACAGAAAGTAGTAAACATTCAAAAAAGCTAAACATTTAAGTATTTAATAATAGCTATGACGAAAGTGGCACAAAAACTATTTGCTACAATAAAATTCCATAGAAAAATTGGAAAACTTAAAATACTGTATTCCAAATTACTATAATTTTGAATTTATGATATCAGTGGTCATTTGGTACGATTTTTTAATCCGCAGTAGATAAGTAATGCGTGAAAAATTGCCACAGATGCAAGTTTTGTAATGAAACTATTAAAGAAATCGATAGATTATTTAAAAGATTTCAGAGAAAATTCTTAAAATCGAAATTAATAACAAATGAAATCTGTAAAAATGCGACATTCCTCTTGTATTCAAAGAAGTCGGATCAAGAAAACGAAAACGTTTATTTGATTAGGAAGAAACGGATACATGTACTGTACAGTACAGATACTCCTGAAACAAATTTCTATAGGAACTAATTTTTTTTTTTTTTTTTGCAAATCAGCTCAACACTTTTTCGGCTATGATTTTCTGGG